TTCTAAATCTAATTATGTTTAAAATGGCTAAACACAATTAATTTTTCTTCTCAAAAACAAAACAATTCAATAAGTTTATGTGTACAGAAATCATACACAAAATAAAACACAAATATCTTACAAAGGGTGAGACCCACATGTAAGACTTATCCTTTGTGAAATATCTGTATTTGGCTCGTGTAACTATTACCCATATTCTTCCATGTACAATTTAAAAAAAAAAAAAAAAACAAATTGAAAACCTGTTGGCTTATTTTTCCTATGAAGGAAAATATCATAAATACGAGCGTGTCAGGAAGGATTGAAAAATCCTTACAGATTAAATTCAACCCAATTATCAAGTGATTGTGTTGATGGTTCTTTTGCCTCAACAAAGAGTACTTCAAAATTGTCAAGTGTAGAGAAAAGAAAAATTAAAAGAACAATGAGGGAGACGGAGAAAGACGATTGAGTGAACAATCAAATTAATAATTGCTTACCTCTACTCCTATGCTTCGAAAAAGAAGTGCATAAAATGCTTCGAAATGAAAATGCTGAAAATAAATGCTTCGAAATATAAATCTATGTTAAACTACTCTTAATATAAAGAAAATGACAAGAAATATTGAAATCAATTGTTTTTTATTATGAATTCTGGATTACTTTACAATGTAGCCATGAATGACTATTTATAGACAAATATTTGTAGGAAAAAACTTCCAGCAATAACTACTTGTACGGGGAAGAAATAATTCTCCTCGTATAATCCTGTTGACTAAGTCCACGCTTCTCTGTACGACGTCGCTTTGTCACCTGAAAACACAAACGTGAGCTAGCCGGCGGGTGTGTGCCGGAAACCTCTCCGATGCCTAAGTCAGCAAACTTGACAAATAGACAAAGCTCAATGTATTCAGGAAGCAAAATTGTATGTTGTGTTATGTTACCTCCTCCAAGGTGATGCTTGTGAGCTTTTATAGGTTTCGAGTGGCACAATCCTAGTAGGATTTTTATTTCTCCATGCAGAGTCCTACTAGGATTCATACTCCTAAAGGATAATGCTTATCCTTTTACACCCCCCACTGCTTAAACCAAGTGGGATGGTTTTTTACTACGGCCGAACTACCATTTAACTGAAGTAAACTGGCTAAGCTGAGCCACAAGGTAGGCCGAACTATCCTTAGTTCGGCCATTCCTTTTACTTTGTATCTCGGTTCTCCCATGTATGAACCATGATATGTTGGGACCGAGCTACCGAGTAGCAAGGTCTTGACCGATCTATACAGAATACGTCATGACCGGAATAACTTGGAGACCGGACTAACTCAAGTTGTCCAAACCGAAGTAGCTTTACAATTCCTGAGCCGAAGTAACTTCATCTCTTTTGGCCGAAGTAACTTTATTTCTCATGGGCCGGAGTAACTTCTCGGCCCGTTTTACCCGGTCCTTCGTACTTTGGGGCCATAAAGTCCATTTCATAGCTCGGCCCGATTTTCACCAAAAATTACGCTCTCACTACCCAATAACCACCTAAAACTACCCACTCTTCCATCTTCATTCCCATAATGCCACATAACTCTCAATGTCTTCATAACTTTTTATAACCTCCAAATGAATAGGAAGATGCCACATGTCCTGCAATTATATAAATAATAAATAATAATAAAAATTGCAAATTTATGGTGCTAACATTACCCCCCGCGGCCCTTAAAAATGATGTTTATTTGAATTTTTGAAGAGCCGAACCAAGCACATGACTAATCTAAGCAATAAAGTGCTTTGAATAATATCAACAAAATGCTTCGAATGATATAATAGCACCAATAAACTGCTTCGAATGAGCATGAAATTATGACTAGATGTTGCGAATTATATACATACGCATTCAAAGGATATTATTGCAGAAAAGTTTCGAAGGATAATCACGTATTTTCAAGACAAAGCCAATGATTCACCTTAGCAAACTGTTACACATGCAAAATAACCAGCTTCGAAGGTGGTATAGAGGACAAAAATTATCATTTGAAGGTTGAAAATGCTGACAAATGACGAATTACATCCTTGGAAATATTCGGCAAAGCTTCGAAGGTTCACAACTATCATTATTTTTTCTTCGAAGTTGTTGTTGATGCAAGATGGAGTGCTTCGAAGCTTACAAAATTACGGCAAAAGGGCTTTCAAATCAACTTTTGGCCAACATTGTGGTTATTCAAATTTTGTATGTTTTGGTTCACACATAATTAATGAAAATATTAATTTTATGCTTTAAACCAATTATCAATTCTCCGAAGACACCAAAACGGCTGTTTTTTGAACCGACTTTTATAGAATACTAGTTACATTTTCATGTAACAAATGGCTATAAAAATAGTTATCAGTAAAGCCACTAATTATCATGCTAAAAATAGACATTATTCGATAATTAATTAATTGTCATTTTACATATATTTAAAGGGAGGTACACATTTTGAAAGTTTTCTCGTCCCATGTTATATTTCGAAGGTGTTTATTGATGACAAAACCACCATTTGAAAGTCACATATGTTACTACAGGATCAAAGTCGTCCTTCGAAAGTGCTCACGACATCTCTTTGAACTAAATCCAAAGAGTTGGATTATTATGAAATTAGTTTGGCATTTTAACTAGCCATTAATAGCTATAAAATGATATTTCAATGAATAATCTACTTCGAAGTGTCTTGAGACATGCTTCGAAGGTAACCACAAAACCAAATGGTGATGATTTTATGGATCAACTAATAACAACATTTTTGACTCAATATATTGCAATAACGAAATATTATTTGTTAGCCATTCCATCAAAGTCAACGTTTGATGTGATCCACAAATTCAAAATGGATTTCGAACAACAAAAGTCATGGTATAGTGTGACCATGAAAATTCATACTTTTTGACATTTTGAAAAATGTCAAAAAATTTGAATTAATGAACAGTGGCTTGTTCATTATTTTTTACCATGCTTGTTTTAAAAACATGACTTTTGCCGAATAGATTTTCATAATTATTTGGCAAAGTGGGTTATTTTTCCATGTTAGCCATTAATGGCTTATGAAAATCACCTATAGATATGTTATTTTCATGACTTAACTCTCTAAAAATTGGTTTTAAGACCCCCCGAGCCATGCATGGAATATCATTCTTAGCTAAATTTGACTCAAGAACATGCTCTTTTGTTATGTTAATTTCATAATTTGGCTCTTTAAAAATGAACTCTTGAATCCCCCGAGCCATTGATGAAATCAGCTCTTTACTTTTGCTATTTTTAACCATGGAAAAATTCTGAAAAAATTCACCAATTCTGGCCATTAAGGCCTCAGTTAAAGACTTGGTAATGAGAGTTGATAACTCATCATTCCATTGGCGAATTTCCATATCAAGTTGATGAATTTCTCCAATTAAATGGTATCTTTTTTCTTCCACCAAATAATATTGTAAAGGATGGAAATTTATTTCATCAAGAAAATGGATTTCTTCTTGAAGATCCAAAATTTCTTGTTTACACCAATAAATTTCATCTAGGCTATTTGAAATGGACAAATCCAATTCATTTTTCATTTATTACACTTGACGTTCTACTGGGCGTGCCAAAAATTGTTGGCTTATTTTTCTCACGAAGGAAAATATCATAAATACGAGTATGCCAGCAAGAATTGAAAAATTCTTACAGATTAAATTCAAGCCAATTATCAAGTGATTGTGTTGATGGTTTTTTTGCCTCATCAAAGAGGACTTCAAAATTGCCAAGTGTAGAGAAAAGGAAAATTAAAAGAAGAATAAGAGAGACGGAGAAAGACGATTGAGTGAACAATCAAAGTAATAATTACTTACCTCTACTCCTATACTTCGAAAAGGAAGTGCATAAAATGCTTTGAAATGGAAATGCTGAAAATAAATGTTTCGAAATATAAATCTATGTTAAACTAATCCTAAGATAAAGAAAATGACAAGATATATTGAAATCAATTGTTTTTTATTATGAGTTCTGGATCACTTTACAATGTAGCCATGAATGGCTATTTATAGACAAATATTTGTAGGAAAAAACTTCCAGCAATAACTACCCAATAACCATCCAATAACCACTTAAAACTATCCACTCTTCCATTCTCATTCCCATAATGCCACATAACCCTCCATGTCTTCGTAACTTCTTATAACCTCCAAATGAGTAGGAGGATGCCACATGTCCTGCAATTATATAAATAATAAATAATAATAAAAATTAAAAATTTATGGTACTAACATAACCTCATCTGAATTAAGTGTGACAGTCTCAAAATTTATTTGTATAACCTATAATATTGCCTAAAATATAAGAAGGAAACCTTAGCTGTTTGATAATTACATGAACAAAAATTACTAGCTAATTCCATAGTATTATATGATATATATGTGCTTTTAACAATAAAGGAATTGCTTTAGAGATTATTTCTTTGATCTAAATAATTCAACATGGAAAAGTAAGATTAATCAAATATAAATAATTATAAAATCATATCATATTTGTCAAACAATATATACTCCAAATTACATATACTCAAAATCATATATGCTATTAATTTTTTATTTATTTCAATAATAAAAATAATCCCAAAACAAATCCAAAGAGTGACACAAGACAATCCTACCTATACCTATTGTGCCTCAAGTCACAACAAAGATCAATTCATCCATTGTTGCCATTCCTACTACAAAAAAATATTTTTGCTTCATATTCAGAAAATGATGATGTCATATATATTAATTTATACATTAATTGATATATCAATTAATAATATGATATAATTTAAGATATTTTTAATATTTATAATTTATATAATAAATAAAATTAATAATAATATTATAATTAATATACATGATCGTTAATAAAATAAAGCACACCCGCCCATTAATAGCAACTTACTTTTTCCTTAGGGACCCCACCCTCTCTCCCTCTCTCTCTCTCTCTCTCTCCCGGTAATAACTTCGCTTTCAAGGTCCAATCCAATCTCTCTCTCTCTCTCTCTCTCTCTCTCTCTTATTTTCTTTGTGAGAATTTTCCACTTAAGCATAACGCTTGAAAAACGTTCCTCCTTCTCTTCTCTTCTCTTCTCTTCTCTATCTATATATGTTTTGAGCAAAAACAGAGAGATTTTGAAGGTCTGTGATGATAATAATAGTAGTAGTGTGTTGAGAAATGGGGGCTTGTGTATCAGTCCAGAGACACCCTGATTCGAACATGAAGTTTCGACTATCGTTTCCGTCTAAAACTGACAATCTTGTGATTCCCTCACCCATCAAAGAAAAATCCATCATCTATGGTGACCGTCCGATCGCCCAAGCTGGACTCAAATCTCAGTGGTCACCGTCTCTACCAGTGACGACTGTTCGTGATTTTGGTATGATCATAACCCTTGCAATCTATACATATATAATTGCTACTAAATTTTCTGTTCTGATTGTAATTCTTGCTTTATTCCTGCCTTCACTATTATTTTTTTAATCTTATTATTTTATTAATCATCTTTGTTGAAATTAGCTTCTTCTTCTTCTTCTCTTTTTTTTTTTTTTTTTTTTTTTTTTTTTTTTTTTTTTATAAAAAAATTAGCTTCTTCTTCTTCTTTTTCTTCATTTTTTTGTTTTTGTAATGCCTCTTAAAAAATTTATTTTCAGTTATTTGACAATTCGTGATGACAAAGGTTTGAATTATGGAGAAAGCTATATAAAAGAAAAAATGGTTTATTAGGCTTTTGTGAGATTATTGATAGCCACGGTCTTGGTTAGTAATAACAGGGTAAAATTTATGTCCAGTGCTTTGACATAGTGTGAGATTGCAAAAACAAATTGTCCCAATCTAATATATCAAATCTAAAATTTGAACATTTTTTTTTCTCGAGGAAATATAGTTTTCGATTGTTATTCATGTTTTTGTTTGCTTCTGTTGGAAAATGACTCACAAAGTCCATATTGTTAAAAGTTTCTTAATGTTTTTTGATTAGTAATGAGTTCACTGCATAAATTGTTGTAAGTTTCATATCACCATCCATATAAATAGCTCATGAAGCAACCTCTGTTATGGACATAACTCTGTGATGTTTGGCAGAGATAACTCTCTTTCTTATCATCATTTATCACGCACAATACATGTGTGGAGTATACAATTTTTTCCGTTCTTTCTCAATTTAGTTTCAATGAAACAGTTAAAGCATTATGTTTTATTTCACTTCTAAGAAGATGAAACAAAAGTGATAGTTACTTTGGTTGGAACGGCTTTATGAGATTCTCAAAAATTTTCATATTCCCTCATTTCTTTATCATTTTCTTTAAAACCTCATGTTTCACTCATGATATTGATGCTAGAAGTATTTTTTTTTATTTTATTTTGGTTTTCCCTTTTTAGTCCTTAAATAGCTCTGCTTTGAACTGGGGTAGTTGCATTACATATTTCTAGAAATAAAGATATAGACAATCTTGTTGATGCTGAGTTTGAGCACCCTCTTCAACAACTGCATGACTCGGACTTGGAGGGTGGGAGTGGTATTTTTTCCTTAGTAGTGCTGCTATATCTTGCATTACCTAAGGTTGAAACTTTTTATTTTCTTAAAAACTATGTGGAACATTTTTTCCCCTTCTTTCTAAGTTAAAATGAGGGTGGTGATAAGCTAGAGGGTTTTACAAAATGGAAATTTCAAACTTTGCCATATCAACCCTGCAGATGAGCTAGCGTTCAGACGAAGGCATTGCTTAAATGTGGCATAATATCAACTGTTGAACACTAAGTGGCCTCCAGGTTAAATAAGAGGTGGTTGTTGAACCCTTTTATTGTGATGGGGAAATTTCAGCTCATACAACGCATCTCCCCAACTGCTTACCCACATCTCATTTGGATGAGTCGATGACTAATATATGTTACTGTTGAATCGTTTGGAAATCATGCCCCGCTATTGGGCCAATAATTTTCTCAGCAATAATGACAATCCATCATGAATTAGATGCTACCAAACCTTGAGCACCTGCCCCCTGAAAATTACAAGAAGTCCCTTGTTTTATATTTGTGCTATATTATCGAGTATAATACTCCCTCCGTTTCAAAATAATAGTCCCTTTTGGAAAATTCAGATTTTTTTGGTAATACAATTATTGCCCTTTAAAAATATTAATTTTTCAAAATTACCCTTTGATAGTACATTTTTTTGGGAATATCAATTGCCATAATTGTACTTTTTGTATTGTTAATGAATTTAAAAAAAAGGCAAAATAGGAAATTTATATTATTTTAGTTCTTGATTTTTGAAAAGGGACTAATATTTTGGGACAATAAAAAATAGAATAAGGACTAATATTTTGGGAAGAAAGCAATATATTATTGTTCTCAACAACCCATTTTGGTGACAATCATGTAAATAGGATATTAATGGGGCTTTTCAATATAATTCAACTCTTGATTTTTTCAACTGCTTGAAGATTCCTAAACTATTTAATATTCTAATATGGCATTGACCTACTTGCCTTTGTGTATAACAAACTAATTGGCCAAAATTTCCACTATTAAACAACAGTCTGGTTCTATACCAAGGAAAAGCCAAAACAGAAATCTAAGTGGTGGAAGTTGTGTTACCTTTTTCCTTTTATTTTATGATTCCAAACAATTTCTTCTTCTTTCTTCATTTAAAAAAATAAATCAATTTATATTAAAGGGAAGAGTAGATTGAACAACCCTTTCTTAGTGCTATGTACGAAGATGAAGAAGAAGGTATGAATCAAGATTTTAACAGATTGTGGAGCACTTGTTTGGCATTACTGCTTTTTTAAAATGGCTTGAGGATCAAATTGAAGGGACCACACCATTAACTCTATTTAAACAGACAAAACCGTAATGTAGTCCTGTTGATATCTTAAACTTGATGGATAACTTCCAGAAAACTTAGTAGCAAAAGCAAAATACAGACAAACATGGAGAAAAAAATCATGTTGTGGCATGCTTTCCCAAAACTTCTAGTCACTGCTGTATGGTATCTTATGCTTTGTCTGTAAAATCCTGGGGGAACTACATTCTCTTTTTTGGCTTACAAAATATAATAGAAATGCCACCATGTATGTCCAATTCCCCGCTTGGCAGTATATATTATGGAGAACATATATTGTTCACTGGTCTGGGACAACTGTTATGCACAAACATGGTTGGTCAACATAAATCTTTCTAGTAACTGCTCATATTGGCCTGAATGAATTCTCATTGCTTTTCATCATATGCCTGTTTGCTTCAAAGAAAGTGTCAAGAATATCATTTTGATATTTCTAGAACGATAGCTGGCTTGAATGATTGTTCTAGTACGCTGTTGCTGTTCTGCTAACCATTGGAACGATAGTTGGCTTGAATGATTGTTCTAGTATGCTATTGCTGTTCTGCTAACCATTGGATTTTGGCGTTTTGGAACCAGCTCATTGGACAACTGATCCGCTGGAATGATGCAATTAAACAATTAATAGTGGAATAAATATAATTTTTGTTTGGAAATGTTTAATTAGTTCTACAGTCAGTAGATTATTTGGATGAATGGTATTATAGAACTGGTGGTCGATAGAATTTCTAGTTTGATTATTGATTATTGAACTGGCAATTCTGATCGAGTACAACCTTTATTTACCAACCTTAGCCAATTGAAGTGTGTAGTATTTACTAACCTCTGCCCCAAGTACATGTAGACCATCACCAATCATTGTCATGATATTGCAGGAGAATCTGAACAATGTAACCTCTGAACAAATAATCATGTGTTAACTAATGCCTGGTGTTCTTTGCAGTTGTGTGCCTGTTCATGGCAAAAATGCTAGTGTAGGATCTTTTTGTTTTGGGAACTTTCATTTAATGCATTGGTAATCAGCACAGAAATGTCCTAGGCCATACACAACTCTCATCCCTGAGCTGAATATTGATTGACTGCAAAATACACGTCCTCCACTGTTTGTTTTTTTCATTGTGGTCCTCATTATTATTGGGGTATGTAAAAGATTGCATTGAATGTGAGTTTTGGTGGTTCCTTCTGTAAATTAGTTACGAGAACTGTTTATAGGTCACATTTTAGGAGGTTATCTAAACCTTGGAGCATGTTGGAATATTTAGTCCTTTCTTGTTTTTGGTTAAACAGAAAGGGAAATCTAATCATGCAAAATTAGAGTATTGTTGTTGAATGAAAGAACTAAATATTCCACATGAGTACATTTTTCAAAGAAAGTCCTGGAAGAAAAAAAAAAAATGTATCATGCATTAAATTTTCTTGTTCTTTGAAGAAAATTAAGAAAATCTAGTATCTTTTTTATTTGTAAACTCATCAGAAAATTGTTTTAATGAAATTAAACGGAACACAAGATAAATTGTTGTCAAATGATCACTGGTACTGGGCTTTTGTTAATGCATGAGTTGGACAAAATTCTGTTCATGTTCAGTTCCACTTTTGTCCGTCTTCTTAAGCTATTTTTTCTTCTTTATCTGATGCCTAAATTCGATGTCTGTTTTTTAGTTGCAGGTAGTAAAGAAGAGGCCTTTTTTGATTCCCAACCCTGGTTAGAGTCAGATTGTGACGATGATTTTTTCAGTGTTAATGGCGGTAAGATTCCATTAGAATGCGTCGAGTTATTACGTTGCATGCCTTTTCTGTGCTGCATATATGTTGTAATATATGCAAGAAAGAGAGCAAGAGATTTTATGTTTTTTGAAGGAAAAAAGTTTAGTCAGCTCTTTCTGAGATTGGATGCTGTATGTTTGACTGTCTGCAAGAAAATTTAGTCCACCTTACTCGGCACCAATTTGTTCTGATCTTGTCGAGTGTCACTTTTTATTTACTTAATTGTCTTGTTGACACCATCAAATTGATGCGTCTTAATGCAAATTTTACTTATTAAATGTGTTTTGATGCAGATTTGACCCCATCTCGTGGTAGTACTCCAGTCCACCACAGTTTCTGTGCAGGAACGGCACGTGCCAATAGAGCCCTTTTTGATGACAAAACCCCCAGATCCCAACCCGAACCATCCCCAAGGAAGACACTAGCTGACTTTTTTCGAGATAGCTTGAGAAGCAACCAAGATGTTGATGAGCAGAACATATTAAGCAACCAAAATGGGGTGAATGAAAAAATTGAAGCTAAGACGACTATGCTTGGCCTCCATCCAATATCTGTAAATGGTACCCCTTTTGTCTCTGGAGCTAATTCTGTGTGCAGTAGCGAAAGAACTCCTAATGGAGATTACAGACCACAGAAGGAGAAACCAATGAAGTCCGTGCAGTGTTGTCTTCCGAGAATCCTTTCAAGCCGTAGCTTCAATGAAAGGAAGAAGTGGACGAGCCCTGCTCGTAGTGTCGGGTAATTTAACCGATTTCCCGTTACGTTTAGTACTATGTATATGATATGAAGCTGCCATAATATGGAAGCTTTGAGATTCTGTGGATTTGCTTGACTTTGAATCCATGAGATTTTGAGTACATATATAAAGACATCGGTGGTTAGCTCTAGTGAAAATTTACCCTTTAAAGAACATGTGTAAAGTAGAACATGTGTAAAGTGGTAGTTAGTATGGTTATTGTCCATAACTATAAATTATCTCAAGGTGACTTTTGCCTTCCAAGTTTATATTTTCATAATGAGATGACCAAAGAAATGGGTCCTTTAGGGCCATGTGTTGTTTCCAATTTTATATCCATTTCCGATTTTTTTTCATTTTATTAAAAAAAAAAATTCAAAATTAGTTTGGTAAAATAATAATAAAAAACACTGATCATGTGTTTTCCCTTTTTAGGGCAAAGTTATTTTTTTGATATTTATTTTTGCACCAAAAAAGAGAGAACCATATGAAAAAAAAGTAGTTTTATAGTAGATTATGAAAATTACACCAAATGATTTATCTAGATAATACAATGATGTCAGTTGATCAGTATTATTCATGCATATATGTACATTATGTGTGGTTTTATATGCAAGTTTTGGATATCAATTTATGAATTTTTTTTTTTGGTTTTTGTTTTTGTTTTTTGGATTGTGGGTCAATTTTTTGCACACATTTTGCATCGGACAACTAATCTGATTTTTTTGAGAATTTTGATGATCATTGTATTTTTGTAGCAATAGAAACCAAAAAATCCTATCATTTGAAGAAATTTTTATATGCCAATTTTACAAATGTATATGTCCCTATTGCTCCTCAAACATTAAACATAAATGTAATAGATCTTACTATCAAAATCAATCATAATAGTAGAAAGTAACACATGACATATATCCACATACAAAAACTACAGCATTATTTGGCATGAAAGTTAAAGAATACTGGCAGCACTCTGTAATCTGGATCTTCAAATCTAACCAACTTCACACCATTTATTTAGACCTAAAATTCAAGTAGACCAAATATTATGATCAGTGTCTTTTTTTTTTTCTTTTCTTTTTTCCCAACCTGAGTAATATTTAGATCTTACACTTGTGACGAGCAAGGAAAAAATTAAGTGAAATAATTATAAATAAAAAAAATTTATTGGGTTAGAAAAGTGAGGGGAAAAAAATATTTGTCAAAAAATCAATTTTATCTTATTATACAACAAAAATGAAAATATGTAAATAATTTTATTTTGGGGTTTTTTTTTAAGCTCCCTAATAATAATAATTTTCTGCATAAAGGACATTAAAAAATGTAATACTGCCTCAGGTCCCTAACTAAAATACCTGCGCATTTTATCAAATTCTTGGACCAAAATACCCTACGTCTGTTCATCTTCAGATGAGTTGATTTTTTTGACCTGTCTACTGGATATTCTCCTTTGTGATGCTGGTACTGGTGTTGGGTATTTTCCGGCGAGTACGAAAACAAATTCAGCAAAACAAAAGCACTAAGTTTGGCAAATTTGATTTTCTGGATAAACAAACAAAGTGGAGTGGAGTTGATAGATGTGTATATATATATATATATATATACAATCTGCTGCTTACTGTCTTGACTAGTATATATATGATAATTAATCAATTAAGACCATTTGCAACCATAATCAAACAGTCACTCTTAGTTATCTTATCTATGGTTGCAAACATATATATATATATATATACAATGTCGGCACATATATATATCCAGTGTTGAATATAACATCTTCAGGTTCAAAATTTCTCTGAGTATTAAATATAACGTCTTTTGATTTTTTAGGTTTAGTAGAATTGGAGTTGTTTCTGGAAAAAGCAATATTTGGACCCCTACTTGAAGAATATTGGAAAAAGAAGCTTGAGGAAGAGGCAGCAGTAAAGAAAGGCTTAAAGTGATCCAGAGAAATTTGAATTTTCTCTGGATTCAACCCAGAGAAATTCAACCCAGAGAAAGTGATCCAGAGAAATTTGAATTTTCTCTGGATTCAACCCAGAGAAATTCATACCATTAAGTTTAAAGAAAATCTATCACAAACTCATAGAAGAACTATTAATTTGTTTGTGCAGGAAATTGTGATTGAATCAGCAGCAGCAAAACCAATGACAAATTGATCAAATCAGAGTTTTATCGTTCCAGAGAAATTCTGGACCAGAGAAATTTGAATTTTCTCTACACAAAAAATGCAAAGTGAACAAAAAACAGAGCACAAAAACGCTGAAAAACAGAGCACCAAAAAGAAACTCATAACCATGTTGACAGAGAATGAAAAAGCAACTCCAAAAATCAAAATCAACTCCATCGAAAATTCATCAATAACAGATAATGAAAAATTAACTTCAAAAATCAAAAACAACAACACTGAGTTCGTCTCTCTCACATTGATCAAAACTAAAAACAAAAACCTAATTCAACACCTACACAATCAAATCAAATCAAAAATTGAAAACTTATCTAATTCAACTCCACATGAAATCAAATCAAACACAATGAACCAGATTTCAACTCCTACACGATCGATCAACACCTACAAACAACGAACATGATTTCAACTCGTACAGGATTTCAACACCTACAAACAACGAACAGGATTTCAACACCTACAAAAACCCTAGAAAATCTCCACAAAAATCTGAATCGTCAAGTTCATCCTCATGTAATCTCCCACAAAATATCAATATGATCTTTAGCTGCCAAATTCAAAACAACGTATATTATAAACAAGGGTAAGATAGGTATTTTACACTCTAAAATAACATTGAGGGACCTTAGGCTACAAAAGAACACATTGTAGACCTAATCCATTACTAAAAGTTGGATAGGGACCTTAAACCGATTTTCCCTTTTATTTTTCTCATAACAAATCCAATATGTAAAAACTAACATAAATGCTACTTGCAACAAATGTGGAATGATATGTCAATAAATAGAGGATGTGTGTGTGATGCTGTGAAAATATATATATATATATATATATATATAAATGTGTTTGGATTATGAATTTAGGTTAGAATTTAAAAAATAAAAAGAAAAGATAAATGAGATGTAAACAAGATTAGTTATATTTCACTTATTTTTTTATATTTTCTTTTAACTCCTATCTAAATTCATAATTTAAATACAGCCTTAAAATTAGTCAAACCATGAGCCCGAGATTAAATTCCAAAATTCGTTTTCTCTATTCCTCTGTCAATAATAATAACTTAGCGGGTGGCACACGCGATATTTGTGCAATTCAGATAACTAATAATAAAAACAAATAATAAAGAATTTAATATCATAATATGTATATTGTTTAAATGAACATTATGATCTTAATGAAACCCAACGTCTTGAGTTCAAAACTTATTTACACTGTAATAATTTTTTAATTTTAACATATATAAAGTTGTTACGTGAAATGAGGAGAATAAAATTTTACTAAACTAATTTGGGGGACTTACTAGCCAGTCCCATGGAAACAAATTAATACCCACCAAGTCCTGCCCTATTTCAGTTTCCAATTTTACACCTCAATGTCTCACCACACGCGTGAAGCAAAAAACGATATTATGAGCTCTTCCCTGCGCGCGTGACACACACGTTCCTTCTCAATTGTTCTGATTTGGAAACTATTCTGAGGCAATTTGGAAACCATTCTGTGGCGATTTGCAATTTGGAAATCGAAACAAACGAAGAGATTTTCCCTGAATCTCCCATCGTTTCTAAAGAAATCACCTTTGTTTCGATCTATATTCTGATTCCGAACAGATCCCCAGCAAATCTTCCACCGTTTCGATCTATATTCCCTGTTTAGTTCATCTTCAACAAATATGCGAATCAAACGTGAGTCGTATTCATCTTCCGTTCTTCTTTTATAACTATAATTAAGTGATATTCAACTTCACAATAATCACATCTTCATGTTCATTTGCTATACAATAACAGATTTGCTTATTTTGCCCAATTTAGTGAGAAAATTTGCTATAAGAATAATAGATTTGCTTAATTTTCTTAATTAAGTGATAAAATTTGTTATAATGATGGATTTCATTCCCTTCTTCTTTCATAACTATAATTGAGTTATAAAATTCGACTTGAAGCTATCATATAGTATTAATTTATGATTGATATTCAACTTCATAAGAATCACATCTTCATGTTCATTTGCTATACAATGATGGATTTGCTTACTTTTGCTAATTCAGTGATAAAATTTGATATATAATTACAGATTTGCTTACTTTGTCCAATTCAGTGAGAAAATTTGCTATAAGAATGGTAGGTTTGCTTAATTTTCCTAATTGAGTGATAAAATTTGTTATAATGATTGATTTGCTTCTCTTCTTATTTCATAACTATGGATTCGATTCCCTTCTTCTTTCATAACTATAATTGAGTAATAAAATTCGACTTGAAACTATTTTCAATGTGTATTATACAGTATTAATTTATGAGTGGATATTCAACTTCATAATAATCACATCTTCATGTTCATTTGCTATATAATGATGGATTTGCTTACTTTAGCTAATTCAGTGATAAAATTTGATATATAATGACAGATTTGCTTACCTTGCGCAATTCAGTGATAAAATTTCCTATAAGAATGGTAGGTTTGCTTAATTTTCCTAATTGAGTGATAAAATTTGTTATAATGATAGATTTGCCTCCGTTCTTCTCTCATAACTATAATTGAGTGATACAATTCGACTTGAAGCTATTTTCAATCTATACCATACAATATTAATTTATGAGCGATATTCAATTTCATAATAATTACATCTTCATGTTCATTTCCTATACAATGATAGATTTTCTTACTTTTGCTAATCCAGTGATAAAATTTGCTATACGATGCCAGATTTGCTTACTTTGCCCAAATCAGTGAGAAAATTTGCTATAAGAATGATAGATTTGCTTAATTTTTCTAATTGAGTGATAAAATTTGTTATAACGATGGATTTGTTTCTCTTCTTCTTTCATAACTATAATTGAGTTATAAAATTCGACTTGAAGCTATTTTCAATATGTACCATACAGTATTAATTTATGAGTGACATTTAACTTCATAATAATCATATCTTTATGCTCATTTGCTATACAATGATGCATTTGCTTCTTTTTGCTAATTCAGTGATAAAATTTACTATACAATGACAGATTTGCTTACTTTGTTTAATTGAGTGATAAAATTTTCTATAGAATGACAAATTTCCTTACTTTCTCTAATTCAGTGATAAAATTTGTTATAACAATGATAGATTTGTTTAATTTGCCTAATCGAGTGATAATATTATTATAATAATGGATTTGCTTACTTTGCTTAATCGAGTGATAAAATTTACTTACTTTACGTCATTGAGTGATAAATTATTAGTTATTTTCATCTTCATCATGATACTTCATGTTCTTTTGCAATTTGGAATCTAAACTTTGCTATACAGTTATATATTTGCTTAATTTGCATAATAGAGTGATAAATTCTTCTTAGTTTGCCTAGCTCAGTGGTAAAATTCTTCTTAATTTTCAATGTTCATGCTCAATGTTTTTGTACAGATGTTCCCAATCATCGTAAAAGATTACGTCGTTGAGAAACAAGTTTCTCAAAGAAGAAAAAGATTGAAAAAGTTGAGTTTGTTATAGAGCCAACAACATATGAAAGTGAAAATCAACTAGAAGTTAAACCTGAATCTAACATTGACAATGAGGAGCCCAAACAGGATCAACTGAAACAAGCTACAGAGCTTCACAAAGCAAGAGGGAAGAAAAAAATTGATGGAAGAAAAACTAGGACTGAACAGATACATGATAATGAAGCAAAGTATGTCTACCGTTCTAACATTCAATCCCTTATCAAATTTTTTAAGACAACAAAACTCAGAGAGGAGCATTTGACACTATTGAGAAAGACACATAGTCAAAACAAGGTTAAAAGAAGAGATTCAATTAAATATGATGATGTGGTTGCAAAAATTTTGTAAAGTTACCAAATGGATGGAACCACATTTGAAATTGGTGGGAATAAGCTGAAGTTGAAAAGAAATGACTTCAAATTAATTTTTGGGATTGCATGTGGACAGAAGAAGATGAATCTTGCATACTGAAGGAAAAATGAGGTAGCTATGGTGCAAAGAAGGAAAATAACTGAGAGCAGAATGACAAGTGCTTCAATCTAAAAGTTGATAACGAAACTTTTGAGAAGCAACAACAATGAAGATGTAGAAGATGTCGTTAGGCTTGTGTGCCTTCTGGTTTGTTTGCTTTTGTTGTGTCCGGGTACTGGGACAATAATTGGTTGGGGGTTCAAGAAATACCTCGAGAATATTGACGAAATGAAGTCTTATGATTGGTGTGGCGCAGCAAAACAACATCTTACAAGATCAATAGCACGCAACATCAACCAAATTGATAGAGTGTGCGGATGTGTGATCATCTTATTGGTAAGTAAATACCTCACTTACAACTTATAAACTATAATATTTACATTTAATAAATACTAATTTATAACATTTTTTTTGTCCTCAACAGTATTGGATATGTGAGCATACAAAGATCATCAAACCAAATGACAAGAACGCAATCCCAAGATTTGAAAAATGGAACATCACACATCTGGGAGAACAATTGGCAAAGTCATCCTTGCATGATCTGAAACATATTGAGGTATCCATTGATATCCTTTGTTTTGTTTAAACAAATATTAGATTTTGTTATGCAGTGATAAATTTTAGCTCGCCTGATAAATTCTTCTTAATCTTCATGGTGTCACATTTCTGGTAGAAAATTATTTAGGCATTTCATCTGTGCTAGGAAATTATTCAAAAAACAAGTTTTATCAGTGTATAACCTTTATTTCTTCAATTGAGTGATGAATTTTGCTATGTAGTGATAAATTTTGATACGGACTAATAACTTTTTGCTCACAGTTATAAATTTGCTTAGTTAGCTTCATTGAGTGATAAATTTGGCTTAATGTTGCTAATTCACTGATAAAACTTGTTATCATGAACCAAATCACTAGTCTTATTATAAATTTGAATCACCGAATGATAAATTATTACTTAACTTGATGTCATATCATTCTTTTTAATAATTTTCATTCATGTAGGAGAGCAATTTGAAAGACACAATTGAAGAACAGAACATATACAAACAATTGCAACCACAAACAGATAATGAGCATGAAGATGAATAATGTAACTTTGAGGAACAAGAGCAGACTGAATTATCTGAAAAGGAAGAAGAACCAATTATCAGAAAGATATTCAGTCTCAGTCCAGGAAGAAATTCATCGAATCCCAAGTATCAAACAGGTGCTCAAAAAAAGAGGAAATCAACAACATTGCAATCAAAAAAGAATTCAAGAAGGAAAGCCAACTTTTAGTATGAAACTGAAGAAGGTCCGGTTCATGTGCAACGAAATGAGCTTTCTTTTGACAAGCTAGAAAATGATGAAGAAGAAACAATGATCAAACAGAAAGTCGGTCCAACAATTTCACCGGGATTCAAGCATCAAACATCGGCTGAAAAGAGGAAAGCAAAAAGGAAACTTGCTTATGAAACAAATGTCTACCATGTCAAAATCAATGAACATACCTTACAGAAACTAGAAGAGAATGTGTTCATAATGCAAAGGCTAGAAATGGAAAAGGCAAGAACCCAAGCAGAAAATGATGAGCTTAAGGACCAACTCATGAAGCTCAATAAACAAATGGAAGAACAGAGCAAGAAAACAAAGACACAAATGGAAGTGAAAGATGTGGAAATAATGCTACTTAATGAGAGAATTGCAATGTTAGTTGAATCAAATGTCTTCCTGGACAGTCAAGAAAAAAAAATCGCAGTTGAAATTGAAGCCACCACTCCTAAAACATCGCCTCTTGTAAGCTCAATGATAAAAATGATAAAAAATAGAGAAACAAGAAAAGAGCACAAAGATCCAGATTTTTGGTACACAACGGAAAGACAACCAAAGCAGAACAAGACAGTTGATGAAGTAGAACCAATGGTTGAAGAAAGTGCAAAGACCAGAAAAGAAGAGTAGACACAACATCAACATTCAACAAAAAAAATTGACACTTCCTATCCAGTGTTTCACAAATTGCCAAAGAAATCAAGGATGAAACTCACTAGTCTTTGGGCAACAAAAACCAGCAGGTAAAAACATGATTTGGTCCTAAAATTTCCAAATTTGGAATCTAAATTTTAGTATATAGTCATGCATTTATCAATGTATAACCTTTGTTTGCTTCATTCATCGATAAATTTTGATATATAGTGATAAAATTTCCTACATAGTGATAAATTTTACTTAATTTGTTTGGTAGAGTGATATATTTTTCTAATCTTCATGGTGTCTCATCTATGGTATCAAATTATTTAAGAATTTGTGTTTATGTTCTCTATTTCATTTCATTGTTGGGATTTGATACATCAAGTAAAATTTGATGCTCAATTTGTTCCCTTAACCTTTCTTTCATTAATTGAGCAATAAATTTTGGTATACAGTGATAAATTTTGTTTTCACATTGCAGTTATCCAATCTTACAAGGAAAGGAAGTAGGCAGCTATTTGTACTTGGATGATATTGACAAAATAGTCAAATGCGAAGAACTTTCTGAAAATGTAAAATCAAATCCCTATTTGTGCATATATCAATTGTAATACCAAATAATAATTCTCTCATTAACCTTGTTTGCTTTTGTTTTTAAAATAGGCAATAAATGCCTACAAGGAAATCTTAATGACAGAAGAGCAACCGAAACCAAAGTTCAGCCTGAGCTCGCAAGCAAGAACAACATATATATTTACTACAACATGCCATGTAAGTAAATTACATATATATATATATATATATATATATATATATTTCATTACGATATCATCCATTCCCCTTGTCTATATCAAGTGCATAAGTTCTCATTCATCCAGTGTTATAGTGATAAAATTACCATTAATGAATTACATTGTAATCAAAACTAATATATTTGCAAAACACAGTATTTGTTTACCACAAAGGATGAGGCAGAAACAAATCAATTGTTGAACAAAATGATGTTAGAAGCTGTCAAGGAAAGATATCTTCTTTTCCCAATTTTCAATGAAAAACATTGGATGTTGTTGGTACTCGATACTGAAAATGGCTCATGGAAGTTTTACAATTCAATGAGACCAAGCACAGAAACAGATAACCACTTAAATGAGGCAAACAAAGTGATAAAACACCAATTAATTATGATATCATCCATTCCCCTTGTCTATATCAAATTTTATTATGCATTTATTTGTCAAACACCAATTAATTATTAATATATTTTGCAAAGAAAGGTTATTGAAAAATACCTTCAACATCACAATCCTAAACTCATTGAAGGTAACAAGTTTCATGAAGAAATAGAAATTACAATGAATTGTCCCCAACAAGTTAATCATTCGTAAGTTTCTGAAAACCAAAACACATTACATTGATAAAATTATCAGTGATGACTATTAACTTTATTTTTCCAATGTCATCATAGACTTGATTGTGGTGTCATAGTTTGTTACCTCATGAGAGAATAGGTCTGTAACAAAGACATCTTTCCCAACTTAACAAAGGAGCAGTGCTAGCAAATTAGAACAGATATCATAGATGCTTTGTTGACTAACCAACAGACAGACACCCAGCAAATCGTTGATGAGGCAATAGAAGCGGTGCTTAAAGACAAGGAGTTTTGAGACACAATAGACAATGACAACAATGCTTGAATAATTTGGGACAAAGATTATAATCATTTTGGTTCTTACTTTGCTTCAATGAATATTACAATGCTTGATTGTTACAATGTCAAATTTGCTTCAATGAAACATTCAGTTTTTTTAAACCATATTGTTACCAGATCTAACTTTTGATATAGGTCTTGTTTTATGCAAATTTCATTCAAAAAATTGATTATGATCTGATTATTTGTATCAAATTTAAAACTTAATAACAGGTTTGGAGTCACTAAACTGATAATTTTTTTTTATAGTGTTTTGTTTAGACTGATAAATTTATCACTGTTTCAACAAATTTATCACTGTGAACACTGATAAATTTATCACTGTTCAAACAAAAAATCAGCATCTCTCTCTCTCTCATTCTTTTTTCCCAACTCGATTAAACAATGATAGATTTGTTATAACAATGATGGATTTGCTTTAAACAAGACACTATAAAAAAAATCATAAAAAATTTACCTAATTTGAAAATTAAAACACAAATACTATTGCATTGTTTTGATCATTTTGGTTCTTAATTTGCTTCAATGAAACATTTAGTCTTTCTTATCCATATTGTTACCAGATCTGACTTTAGATATCAGTCTGGTTTTATGCAAATTTCATTCAAAAAATTGATTATAATCTGATTATTTGTGTCAAATTGAAAGGTTAATAGCAGGTTTGAAATCAGTATATTGATAAATTTATTTTTTTATAGTGTTTTGTTTAGACTGATAAATTTATTACTGTTTCAACAAATTTATCACTGTTTAAACAAAAAACCAGCATCTCTCTTTCTCTCTCTCTCAAATTGTTTTTTCCCAACTCAATTAAACAAATCATTATAAAAAATAATAAAAAATTTACCTAAATTGAAAATTAAAACACAAACACTATTACATTGTTTGATCATTTTGGTTCTTCATTTGCTTCAATGAAACATTTAGTCTTTTTAATCCATATTGTTACCAGATTTGCCTTTAGATATCAGTCTGGTTTTATGCAAATTTCATTCAAAAAATTGATTATAATCTGATTATTTGTGTCAAATTTAAAGGTTAATAACAGGTTTGAAATCAGTATACTGATAAATTTATTTTTTTATAGTGTTTTATTTAGACTGATAAATTTATCACTGATTCAACAAATTTATCACTGTGAATACTAATAAATTTATCACTGTTCAAACAAAAACACCAGCACCTCTCTCTCTCTCTCTCTCTTTGAAACTCAATTAAACAAAGCACTATAAAAAAATAAAAAAAATACCTAAATTGAAAATTAAAACACAAACACTATTACATTGTTTTGATCATTTTGGTTCTTCATTTGTTTCAATGAAACATTTAGTCTTTTTTATCCATATTGTTACCAGATCTGGCTTTTGATATCAGTATGATTTTATGCAAATTTCATTCAAAAAATTGATTATAATCTGATTATTTGTGTCAAATTTAAAGGTTAATAACAGGTTTGGAATCAGTATACTGATAAATTTATTTTTTTATAGTGTTTTGTTTAGACTGATAAATTTATCACTGTTTCAACAAAGTTGTCACTGTGAATACTGATAAATTTATCATTGTTCAAACAAAAAACCAGCATCTCTCTCTTTCTCTCTCTCTTTTCAAAACTCAATTAAACAAAGCACTATAAAAAAATAAAAAATTTACCTAAATTGAAAATTAAAACACAAACACTATTATATTGTTTTGATCATTGTAAAATTTTAAAAAATAAGATATAAGTATAGTTAGAATAAATTTGTAAAAAAAAAAAATTATTTATAGTTAGTTACACATGAGCTCAAGAATGTTGAAAAAACATATTATAATTTTACAATGCAAAATACTAATATTTAAGAATTAGGTATTATTAAAATACTCAAGAATGCTCAAGAGTGTTCCCATGTTTATAAAATGCTTAAGAATGTTCTCATGTATTATATTTCATCTGAACATGAGAACACTGAAGCATTTCCTAAACTGAAATTTTGAACAATTTAAACTCAAAATGAATTGCAAAACTCAAAATATCTTGCTATTGAAGCAAGATATTTGCCACTGATAAAAAAGAAAAAGAAAAAGAAAAAGTACTATCGTAGTATCTCTCTCTCTCTCTCTCTCTCTCTCTCTCTCTCTCTCTCTCTCTCTCTCTCTCTCTCTCACGCACACACATTCTTTTTTCCTAATTCAAGTAAACAAAATACTATAAAAAATAATAAAAAATTTACCTAAATTAAAAATTAAAACACAAACAGTATTACATTGTTTTGATAATTTTGGTTCTTAATTTGCTTCAATGAAACATTCAATCTTTTTTAGCCATTTGTTACTAGATCTGGCTTTTGATATCATTCTTGTTTTATGCAAATTTCATTCAAAAAATTGATTATAATCTGATTATTTATGTCAAATTTAAAGGTTAATAAAAGGTTTAGAATACATTCGTAAAAAAAAATTAAAAAAAATTATTTGTAGTTAGTTACACATGAGCTCAAGAATGTTGAAAAATCATACTATAATTTTACAATACAAAATACTAATATTTAAGAATCAGGTTTTATTAATTTTAAGTTGATAGATATTTTAATTTTTTTAAATAAGTTTTACAAATATTTTATTTCAATACCAAATATAATATGTTTATATTTCATCTAAATATGAATATAAGAACGCTGAAGCATTTTCTAAACTGAAATGTTGAACAATTTAAATTGAAAATGAACTGGAAAACTCAAAATTTGCTATTGTACCAAGATATTTGTAATTGATAAAATTATCACCAATAAAAAAAATTAAAAAAAAGATACTATTCTAGCACAATATATTTGCCAGACAGGGAAAACAAAAGCGTGAGTCACGCGATTGAAGCCCTGTCTTTCTCATTCTCCACTGTCAGCAAAACCTTTCCATTCTCAGGCGTAACAACGATGATTCGAACACCAAATCAACCGATTCAAAGAAAAATTTCGACGAAACATTCCTGTAAAACGTAAGCAACTGAAACCCTTATTTCTCTCCCTAGTCAAACAAATTTTCAAAAACCCTACATATGGTTCAATTACAACTTGCAAATTTCAACAATGTTAGGGCATTTTCGAAAAATAAAACTTGTGAATATGTGAAATGTTTGTTGATCAAGTGATAAGGGTGTTGGTTTTCAAGTTCAAAATTAGGTTCATTTTAAAATATTTTTTTTAAAAACTTTTGATACAAAAAAATTCAGTTAACAAAAAAGGAGGGAGTCGGTTCAAGAGATTAAAGTATGGAGTGGGTTCAAGAGAATAAACTAAGTTGTTAACATATATAATAGTAACTAGAATGGTGCACACACTACATATGCGTAATTTTTTATAGATTAAATTTTGTGTGACTTTTGTTTAATATTTGATTGATAATAATTTGCATCCTTCTTTTGATATATTTTATTTTATTTTTTATTTGGTTATTTCACTATGTCCAATTTCTCAAAAATTGTAATTTTTTTACACCTTATGGATTAATTTTTTTTTTCTTTTTTATTGCATAATGGTTGTTTGAGCTAATTTTCATACTAAAATTCCACTAAAAGAAATAGCTTAAACTGTATACAGATGTACTAACAATTGAAATACCAATTGTAAATAGAAAAAAATAACTCAATGATCTTTATCAAACTTAAATATACAAATCATGTTGTTGATGTAGCCTACAAATAGAAGCCTTGCAATACTTTTACCTTATTGTAGAAGTGCATCAAATCAAGGCCTCTCCCTTGATAAACCTTTTTTCTGTTGCAGAACTCAAACCAATTTATAGATTTGATAATTAAACCATACTATAGGGTGTGGTTCTGTAACTGTTTGTTCCCATAAACGAGTAACTGACATCAAGTAAAATTTGATTAGTTTTTTTTTTAAATTATGTAACTGTCACATGGTAAAAGCTTCAACAAACCAATATAGGTGCTCACATAATATAATAGTACAGATAGTATAGATAATAGTAACAATAGATACATAAATAAATATACAACTAATAAGTTTATCAAACCAACTCATAAGTTTGGTTCACATACCAAACCAACTGATAAGTTTATCACTTACACATCCATCTCCATTTCTATGTAGGGATACATTTGCAAAAATTTGATGTAGGCAGAAGGTGATTGACACAATAGTCAATAGACTCACCAACTTAAACAAATTTAATCTCTTTTAGGGAAGAATTTGCCTCAGTCTATTTTTCTTCTTTTTCTTTTTTATCGCTGAATTTGCTTCAGTGATAAATTTGCTTAATTTTCATAATTCTTCTTATTCTTATTTGATTGTTTGAATTATTTTTTATGCTAGCTAACAAAATGAATCCAGAGGAATTATGAATATATTCAAGTTTTATCAGTGCTTCTTTACTTAATTAAATGATAAATTTTGTCGTATATCCATAAATTTTGCATGGTTTGCCTAATTCATTGATACACCTCTTTCATATAGATGTTGCGAGTTCTCGTAAGAGATTATGTAGGCCAGAAACAAGATCTTATATTGCAAAAGGACAAAAGCGAGAAAAGGAAGACAACAATGAGACAAAAAAGCAACAAGATAACAAAGAGGAAACTGCAAGAACAGAAACAACAAGCAAACAGTAAGAAAGGAACAAAAGACAGAGACAACAGAAGCATGAACCTGCAAATGAACCTGAAAAACAAGCAGAAGCAAAAGAAAGAATAAGGAAACAGCAACAATGCATTAAAGGTAAAACACAATAGCAGCTTATATAGATGTCACATGTGAATTGATGTAATGAATTCCTTCCCAACTGTTGCCACATGCATCTGACCTAACCCAATTGAGTGGTCAATTTTGCTGGTCATTATTAGAACTCTTCACTGTATTAGCTTTGTTTGCTTAATTATGTAATAAATTTTATCATAATTCTTCTTATTCTTCTTTGATTGTTTGAATTATTTTGTTTGCTAGCTAACAAAATGAATACAGAAGAATTATGAATATATTTAAGTTTTATCAGTGTTTCTTTGCTTAATTAAATGATAAATTTTGTCGTATATCCATAAATTTTGCATGATTTGCCTACTTCATTGATATCCTTCTTTTATATAGATGTTGTGAGCTCTCTCATGACATTATCTATGCCAGAAAGAAGATCTTTAACTGCAAAAATATAAAGGCAAGAAGAGAAAGACAACAAAGAGACAAAAAAGCAACAAGATAACAAAAAGAAAACCTCAAGAACAGAAACAACAAGCAAACAGCAAGAAAGGATCAAAAGACAGAGACAGCAGAAGCATGAACCTACAACTGAAGCTGAAAAACAAGCAGAAGCAAAAGAAAGAATAAGGAAACAACAACAATGCATTAAAGGTAAAACACAATAGCGACTTATATAGATGTCACACGCGAATTGGTACAATGAATTCCTTCCCAACTATTGCCACATGCATCTGACTCAACCCCAATTGAGTGGTCTGTTTTGCTGGTCATTATTAGAACTCTTCACTGTATATGCTTTGTTTCCTTAATTACGTAATAAATTGTCATAATTCTTCTTTGATTGTTTGAATTATTTTGTTTGCTAGCTAACAAAATGAATACAAAAGAATTATGAATATATTCAAGTTTTATCAGTGTTTCTTTGCTTAATTAAATGATAAATTTTGTCGTATATCCATAAATTTTGCATGGTTTGCCTACTTCATTGATATCCTTCTTTTATATAGATGTTGTGAGCTCTCTCATGACATTATCTATGCCAGAAAGAAAATCTTTAACTATACAAACACAAAAGTAAGAAGAGAAAGACAATAAAGAGACAAAAAAACAACAAGATAACAAAAAAGAAACAGCAACAAGAGACATAACAAGCAAACAACAACAAAGGAAGAAAAAACAGAGACAACAGAAGGATGAACCTGCAAATCAAGCTCAAAAACAAAGAGAACAAAAAGAAAGAATAACCAAACACCAACAACAGAAACATGCAGAAACAAGAACCAAGCCCCAACAAAACAAACAAGAACCAAAACAGCACAAACCACAAGGCAAGAAGAAAATAGAGGGAAGAAAAACAAGAAATGATCAAATTCATGACTATGAAGCAAAGTATGTGTACCGCTCAAACATGCTATCCCTCATCAGATTCTTCAATGCTATGAAACTTAAAAAGGAGCATTTCCAAATATTGAAAAAGACTCCCTTCTTCCTTCTAGTTGACATTTTGTCAAAGAAGAAGGTGCAAAAAGCAGATTCAATGAAATATGATGATGTGGTTGCAAAAATCTTGCAAACATACCAGATGGATGGAACCACATTTCAAATTGGAGGGAAAAAGCTAAACTTGAAAAGAAATGATTTCAAGTTAATTTTTGAGATTGCATGTGGACAAAATAAGATGAATCTTGTATATAGAAGAAAAAATGACATAGATCTGGTAAAAAGAAGGAAAATAAGAGAGAATAGAATGACAAGTGCTTCAATCCAAAAGTTGATAACCAAACTTTTGAGAAGCAAGAAGATGGAAGGCAAAGAAGATATTGTGAGGCTTGTGTGCCTTTTGATTTGCTTGCTGTTGTTATATCCTGGTACTGGCACTACAATTGGTTGGGGGTTCATGAAATATCTTGAGGATATTGACAAAATGAAGTCTTATGATTGGTGCGACGCAGCAAAGCAACAACTCACAAAATCAATAGAAAGAAACATCAACCAAATTGATAAAGTGTCTGAATGTGTGATGGTCGTATTGGTAAGTAAATACCTCACTTATAACTTATGAATTATAATATTTACGTTTATTAAATACTTGTTTATAACAATTTTTTTGTCTTCAACAGTATTGGATATGCGAACACACAAGCACCATCAAACCCAATGCCAAAAATGCAATCCCAAGATTTACTAAATGGAACATCACACGTTTGGGACAGCAATTGGAAAGTTCATCCTTGCAAGATCTAAAAGATATTGTTGTATGCAATGCTAACCTTTGTTTTGTTTAAACAAATGATAAATTTTCTTATGCAGTGATAAATTTTTGTTCACACTGATAAATTTATTTAATTTTCCTAATTGAGTGACAAATTTCCCTTAGTATACCTAATTGAGTAATAAATTCTTTTACGCAGTGAATGTTTTTCTATTTGTCTAATGTGCATGAGTTTTGTTTCATATTTACTTTATTTGTGTCACTTTATATTCGACTAGAATTCATTAGGTTTCTGTATTGATAAACTTATCCGTAAAAATGAATTGAATTAGACATTTTGTCTTATATATTTATTTGCTTACTTTTCATAATTCAGAGATAAAATTTGCTATACAATGACAGATTTGCTTACTATGCCTAGTTTAGTGATAAAATTTGCTATAACAATCATAGATTTGTTTAATTTTTCTAATTGAGTGATAAAACTTGCTATGAGAAATTTATCTCTGAAATTTGTATCATATCATTCATTTTTTTTAATTTTTATCTATGTAGGAGAATAATTTGAAGCACATAGATGAAGAGAAAAGAATATACCGAATACTGCTAGGAGAAATTGAGGATAACGATGAAGACGAAGATGAAGATGCTGATTTTCGGTAACAAAATCAGACTGAAAATTCTGAAAAAGAAGAACAAACATTCATTGAAGACAAATCTAAACATGAAACATGGGAACCAATTCCACACAAAATATGCCTTGAAAAGAAAAAGAAAACAGTACCCCTTGAATCACAAAAGAGTGAAGGAAACGAAATTGACAAAGAGGCTGAAGTGGATCCAAATCTGGTAGAAGTACTTGTTTTTGAGAAGATAGAAGGCGACATGCTCAAAATGGAAAATGGAAAGGGACATCCTTCAAACTGCAAATGATCACCTGCAGGAGCAACTCAAGAAGCTGAAAAAAGAAATGCAAGATCATCACAACACTACAAAAAATCAAATGCAAAGGAAAGATGAAGAAATCAAAATACTCCATGAGAGAATTGCAACATTGGTTGAGGCAAACAAGTACTCGGAAGAAAAACACACACAAGAGCAGCCTGCAATGAAGAAATTGAAAATTTCAAACGAAATTTTCAACATCCTACCAGAAAAATCAAGGCAAAATCTCATTGCACATTGGGCAAATACGAAGAAAAGGTAACAATCTTCTCTCTTGACTCCTGTAGTTCACTTTTGCTGACTATTTATCATTAACTCATATTCAATTTATAAGTAACAAATATTCCAAAAATATTAATAAATTTATTATTCCAACACTAATAACCTTTTTTTAAGGGATGAGCCAGTGTGGCAAGGATCTGACCATGCAACCTAGTCTACTTAAATAACATTGACAAAATATTGAAGGGTCAAGATTTTGTAGGCATTGTAAGTTGAATTTGTAACTCATTAAAATAACATTATAGTGTTTGATTTATATTAATTCCTTGTTTTTTTTTTGTTTTCAACACAGGTAATAGATGCACATGCAGAACACTTGCTTGCACAAAAACAAGGAACATCATTCATATTCATTTCAAGTTGCCATGCAAGTAACTAGTTTGCTTAACTGAGGAACAACACTTGTTTTGTTTTTTATCAGTGTATAACCTTTGTTTGCTTAACTAAGTAACTAGTTTCAAACATATGACACTACATTTCCTCTTCAATTGGCCATGTTTCCCAATTCAAAGCTTGACATGCGAAACAAAAAGTCAAGCAAACCAAACCAGAATTTTTGACTCAGATTTTGTAATCACTGTTGTATATTTTGACCTTATTATTGTGGCGCCACAGTATAAGTAAATCCCAGTCTTTGATTAAATGTTCTGGGCACTTTTTTGAGTTTTCGAAACTACTGCATATGATATTGAGAACTTCAACAAATACTGAGATGTGTTGAAATGGAAATAGCTAGATTATATGCTATGATGTTGCAGGACATAGTTCACTTTCATTTTGTTAGTGGTGAAGCCTCATAGAGCTCTTGCTAGATGTAATTTATTAAGTAATGGACATCTTTCATTACAACTATGGAAGGGAGAGAATCATGATATATATATATATATATTAGTAGATGTGCACACTCACATGAGTGTACTCGAAATAAGCAGTATGGAAATATAGCCTGTTACAGATCATCTATGAATATTTACAGAATGAAAGAGAAGAATAGTATAGATATATTAGGAGATATAAAGATCCATTTCACATGGAAGAGAAAAAAAGGTCTCAAGACAACAATAGATGTGTTCCCTTTATATATAGTATAGATGAATTTTGTAATGCAGTGATAAATTTTGATATGGATTGATAAAATTTTGATCACACTGACAAAAAGTTTCATACTCACCATCTATTTAATTTGAAAAAGTTTAAATTTAAATTAACATTATTTTTTTATTTATATTTGTTAGCACTTGTTGACAATAAAAGATGAGGAATCAAGAAAGAGAATGCTGAACAAAATGATGCCTGAAGCCATGAAAGCAAGATACCTTCTCTTCCCAATCCACCAAAATTTTCACTGGACAATACTTGTCCTTGACATTGAAGAAGGTTCATGGAAATTCTACAATTCCATGAGACCAAAGGGAGCAATGGCTAAAGATCCACACTTCAATGCCGCAAATGAAGTGGTAAAAATGTTTTCATTATCAAACTTAATATTAATCCAACACATCAATCCTAATCCATGCTCAATTATACATCAAAAATTTATACAGTAGCATATTTATCATTCTTTAAATCCATGGTTTCTCATTAATTGTTTCAATTGGCTTTCTAATAGAACAATTATACAAATGTATATGTTGCAGAAGGAGATTATTGACAAGTACATAAAGGATGAGAAGCCAACTCAAACCCTGACAAATTTCAACAGAAGACAGAGAGCGTCATCAACAGCCCACAACAGGAAGACACGTCGTAAGTTTATCAATAACAAAACACTGTTATTAAAAAAAAAAAAAAGCAACGAAACCAAATTATGATATTTTGTTTTCAAAATGTTTTTGCAGGCTTGATTGTGGAATCATTATTTGCTATATCATGAGGCAATATGTTTTCAAAAACAACATAATGCCTACTTTTTCCAAGGAAAAATGCAACCAATTGAGAGCCGATATGTTAACTATCTTCTTGACTGATCAACAAGTTGCTCAACAACAAATACCTGATGAAAACATTGATGACTTGCCTCTGCAATAATCAACAGATCTGGAAGAGAAGAAAACAAAAGGAAACACTGATTCATTTGGTTGTTAGAATGTCAATACTTCATACATTTTGCTTGTTTGCTTGTTATAGTGTTACTAGTATTTTGATGATTTTGGTTCTTACTTTCCTCCAATGAATATTACAATACTTGGTTGTTACAATGTCAAAGTTATGGACAGTGCTTGGTTGTTACAATGCCAAAGTTATGGACAATGCTTGGTTGTTACAATGTCATATTTGCTTCAATGAAACATTCAGTCTTTTTTAGCCATATCATTACCAGATCTGGTTTTTGATATCAGTTTTGTTTTCCAAATTTCATTCAAAATATTGATTCTAATCTGAGTATTTATGTTGAATTTAAATGTTAATAACAGGTTTGGAGTCACTATACTGATAAATTTATTTTTTATAGTGTTTTGTTTACACTGATAAATTTATCACTGTGAACACTGATAAATTTACCACTGTTCAAACAAAAAAAATCAGCAACTCTCTCTCTCTCTCTCATTATTTTTCCCCAATTCAAGTAAGCAAAACACTATAAAAAATAATAAAGAATTTACCTAATTGAAAATTAAAACACAAGCACTATTACATTGTCTAAATTGGAAATTAAAATACTGTTACAATTTGTAGATATTCCCAAATTTGAGAATGAATGTAAGAACATGTCATCCTTGGTGATTTCTGAATAATCAAAACCATTTGATACTTCAGTTAAACAACTCAAACATCCAAAACTTTCTTTTGAGTGACCACAAAACAATATGCAGACTGAGAACTTATTGCTAAACCAGATAAACATGGTAGTTGATCTAATTTTTTTTTCTTTTTAAAGCAGTTAACACAGCAGATATGCAATTATGTATTCTAGAGATTTGATCTACACCTTTGTATTGTGGAAATTTTTCTTGGGAAAATTAGATAACTCCAGACAATGATAAATTTATCACTGTAGAAAAAACATTTGCTTGGATATGACAGTGATAAATTTATCAAACACTGACATAAATGTAATAAACCATCAACTCTTCCCACACAATTAGTGATAAATTTATCGTTCTTGAAAATAACAAAATTCAAGAACCACATTAATGGTAAATTTATCATTCTTACAAAAAAATAATCCACCAACTTGTCCAAGCCAACCAGTGATAAATTTGTCACTGTATAAAACACCAAAAACAACAACTACATTTAACCCAAATCAAACAATATAAATCTGTGAAACTTAATCCTATAAAAATATCAACAAAAAATATAATTTCTGTTCAACAAATTCCTCAATCATTCAATGCAAGTACCAAAATGATACATCTTTAAAAAAATACTCAATCATTCAATGCAAGTAACACCTCTCAACTCTCAACAAAGTAATTCAATTAAAATCAATACAACTAAAGCAAAGCTTCTTTACATGTCTGTCTCGATTATGAGTTCCAATCTTTCTACACCTACTGCACCTAATTCTCTTGATTTCGCCCTTAGAATGTATTCTCTCTGTTTTTGGACGTCCAACTGGTCTCTTACAAAGAGGAGGTAAAACAACGTCATCATCAACAACTACATTTGGCTTCCACATACTAAGAACTGGATAGATAGAATGTGAATAAGAATCACAATAACTACTAACACGATAGTAATAATCAAGAAAACAATTCAGATCCTTCCCACTCCTCTTTATAGCACAAAAACCATGTTTGCAAGGAAAAGAATCAATTTCCTACAATCGACAAGAACAAGAATGTTTCCCAATATCAACCATAACTGAATGATCCAATTGGATTTCATAAATGTCATCGTTACATTTCTTAACTATCTATGTTTTTGTATCATTAAAAGCTTCTTCCAACTTTTTCTCTGCAAAAAGACAAACAATACGATTCCACTTATTCCCAACTTCTCTCCTTCTTGAAAATTGCTCCATTAGTTTCACCCGTATAGCATCAACAAGACTAGTTGAAAACAAATGGCGTTCATCGCTAATCCATGAATTAAAAGATTCTGCAGCATTTGTGCACATTTCACCATACCTCTTGCCTTGAAAATAAGCATTACACCAACACTCATTAGGCAAATCCTCAACAAACTTCTCAACACTACGACTACAATGACCCTTAAATTCTTCAAATAGCTCATTAAACAACTCAATAGTAGGAGCATATGCACATCTACTAAAAAGAGTAAGCAAATACTCTTTAGATTCGCGACTCTTCACTGACAAATAAGTCTTCAAGTTTGTCTTCAAATGCATTAGACAAAAAGAATGAAAAGAAAACGGAAAGACCTCAGCTAAAGCTTTCAGCAAACCTCCATGCCGATCAGTAACAAACGCAATTTCCCTCCCTGGAGTCAAAATAACAAATAACTTTGACAAGAACCAATGCCAACTGTCATAACTTTCACTATCAACAATAGCAAAACATAACGGATATAAACCTACAAACAAAATATATATACACGTTATCAATAACAAATAAAAAAAATTACAAAAAGAAAATCAAAACACAAAGTATATAACATATAGCACCAGCCATAGATAAATTTATCACTGTATAAATATAAAAATTTAACAAAAGTATACAGCATAAATTTATCATTAATAGATTGACCATACTCAATAATTAACACTCTCCAGTAACAAAAAAGATAGAATTATCACTGTTTTAATAATAATAACAAATAGACACATAATATACCTTGGTTACCATCTTTTTCCGTAGTAGCCAATAAACAACCTTTGTGTCTTCCTTTCAAGAAAGTTCCATCAAGCATCAACACAGGCCGACAATACTTGAAACCATAAATACATGCCTCAAAAGTGAAAAACAAGCATTTAAAATGTCTTCCTTTACTATCAATATCAAATTCCATATCAAAAACACTCCTCGGATTGCAAGCATTAGTGGCATCAACATACCAACGAAGATCGTCAAATGATGATGGATAGTCACCAAAAACAAGACCCCTTGCTTTTTCAACACCCATCCAAGCTCGCCGATAAGAAACTTCTGTTCCATAATAGTCCTTGAAATCACAAACCACCTCACTAACCGATGTCAAAGCCTTATTACGAATATCACTTGAAATTAACCCACCAATCATACTTGAAGTCATCCTAGCATGTTTAATTGTACGAAAAGAAGATCCACAAGTATGAACATCATCAAATTGTTTAATAACAAAAGCTTTACTATAATTTTCCACTCTAGCATGCACGCTCTATAAACATCTCAAATCAGCCCTTCTCTTACAATGAACAGTGACACGATCCTTATCATTCTTAACAAAATCAAAATTAAAACCAGAATGAATAGAATACTTTGACAATGCATCTCAAAATTCAACAACTCCTTGAGCAAACCTTTGTCCCACTCCTTTCATATAATTAACTCACCCATCGGAGAGCAAAGGTTTCCGTTGATTTGAATAAAATGAAGGCAAAAAATCAATTTCACAAATAATACTACTACTACTACTACTACTACTACTACTAGCTTCACCATCACAAATCATATAACCTTCACCCAAAGAACAACACTTTACAAAAACATCAATATGATGAATATCACAAGAAAGTGCCAGTCCAACCATAACCTCCAAATCCTCTTCACTTTGTAGACCACAACAAGAATGTTCAGGCAGTGAATACGATATATTCAAAGAACTACCAACTAACTCACTCCATACTAAATCCTTGAAATTAAATCCATCATTATACTTGATAACCAATGTCACACCTCTAAACTTGCACATAAGAAACAAACAATTCTCCATCACTATAAATCTTGCAACAAACAACAATTATATTTCAACAAACAACTCAAACACCCTAAAACAAGATCAAATACAGTGATAAAATTATCAACCAACTTAAACACATCCAAAAATCAACACTGATAACTTTAACAATTAACACCACCAAAGACCAAGAACAGTAAATAAGGCTTACACTTATTAGACATGGTAACTCAATTTGAATCTTAGCATTACATTATGCAACCATTTCATCTCTTATTCTCATACTCACTAATAAATTTATCACTGTTGAAAAAGTTAATCCAACAACACCCCCAAAATACACAGTGATAAAATTATCACTATATAAAATAACAAACCAACACCTGTGTTCAATCAACACAATTTCGTAACCAAAAAAAATAAAAATCTAAAATTCAATCAACATATATATATCTCAAAGCTTTCAATGTCATGATCAAAACACAAATTCAATCGCAACAAAAACAACAGAGTAACAACAATATCACCACAAAATCAAAATCACCAACTCAAACTAAAAAGAACCAAAACATTGAAATTGAAATCAAAATCAAACATACCAGTTGATCTAACTCCACAACATCGCAAATCAGAAAATGTAACTATACACCAAACGCGAAATCGCAAATAGGAAGATTCACCAAGCACGCAATCGCAAATCACAAATCGCGAAGATACACTAAGCGCGAAATCAGAAATCACGAAGCTCCACAAATCGCGCAATCAGAAATCACGAAGCTCCACAAATCGCGCAATCAGAAATCACGAAGCTCCACAAATCGCGCAATCAGAAATCACGAAGCTCCACAAATCGCGCAATCAGAAATCACGAAGCTCCACAAATCGCGCAATCAGAAATCACGAAGCTCCACAAATCGCGCAATCAGAAATCACGAAGCTCCACAAATCGCGCAATCAGAAATCACGAAGCTCCACAAACTCTACTGTAATTAATACATACATATATATATATATATATATATATATTAACCTCTAATGAAATATCAAAAGAAAAAATGACTCTAATGAAATATCAAAAGAAAAAATGACTCTAATGAAATATCAAAAGAAAAAATGACTCTAATGAAATATCAAAAGAAAAAATGACTCTAATGAAATATCAAAAGAAAAAATGACTCTAATGAAATATCAAAAGAAAAAATGACTCTAATGAAATATCAAAAGAAAAAATGACTCTAATGAAATATCAAAAGAAAAAATGAGTGTGAGATAAATTTAAAATATGAAATTTGTTACAAACTAATAGTTATATATATGTCCCTATTATATTTTGTAAAATTAGTGTGTATTATATATATGAAAAAATTATGTACATTTTTTTTTTTTGAACGGCAAAGAAAGGAAACTTTATTGATGTTGATAAAAGGTACAAGATGTACACACACAAACATCAAAACACCAACAAAGAGAAGAGGGAGAAAACAAGATAGGCAGCAACCAAGACAGAACACAACAACAAAACACCCTTTTGATGCAGATCAATCCCAGAACTAGAATAGCACTCAGAAGCATAGTGCCCAGCACACAGAAGAAGCACACCAGAATAGCACACCAGAATAGCACTCACTCAGCACACCAGATTAACACTCACTTCCCAAACAAACCAAACAGAGTTCTATGCTCAGCCAACACCCCTACTGCAGAGTACACCAATCAGGAGCAGACATTAGACAGCAAACAACAGGCTAACATTAGACACAAACCAAAATACTATGTGACAGCACCCAGAATTGTTTCAATTCGGCTGAAAGCTGAGAAGACCAATCAGTAGCAGACAATAGACAGCAGCATCAAACCACACCAAGTACCAAAACAAAGGCAAGGGCAAGAGCTTAACTAACATTAGATTTAGACCAAAGCAGAGCCAGAACAGAGAAGATTAAACAGCAGCAGAGAAGATCAAACTGGCATACTAATTCAGCACATACTAATGCAGGCAGCAGACAACAGTTGGCATACTAATTCAGCAGCAGAGAAGATCAAACTGAGCCCCTGATCTGCTTCCACTTAAAAACTATATCATCCACTGAAAAGGGGAAATCCTTGACTGATGCTTTGAGCCAAAGGGCAGTTCTAATTTTGATGAGATCAAGCAGTCCAAAAAAATTGGGCTGAGCCTTGGAAAATACACAATCATTCCTATGCTTCCAAAGAGACCAAAAAATGACTAAAGGGAGGGCTCCCCAAATTAATCTGACATACTTTTGAAATTTCTCACTCATCCACCAATGAAATAAATCAGCTACTGAATTTGGAATGCACCATTGAAGCCCCCATTCTTGAATCAATAAAGACCAAATCAGCCAAGAGAAAGGGCAATGAAGCAAGACATGAATATTATTTTCAGATTCAAAATTACAAAATGGACAGAGAGTCGAAGTACTGCTATCAAGTATGCCAATATTGTGCAAGAATTTTGAGGATTTCACTCTGTTTTTCCAGGCCAACCAGCAAAAGAAGGAGACTTTGGGGGGTAACAAAGAGCTCCAAATATGCTTGCAGATTCTTAGATTAGGCCAAGAAGGGAAGTACTGTAAGAATATAGGCCAGATACAAAGAACTGATTATGGCCTGCAGCATCATTAGACCATATCAGGTACTCTGCATTTTCATTACACAAAGGAGGAGTTGAGGATAAGGCCGCAATTAGATTAGCTTCTTCAGTCAATTCCCAATCATACAACTCTCTTCTATGAGGAAAGTTCCAGACATATGAGCTGGTTTTCCTGGCAAAGAATTGGTGGAGAGAGCTTTCTTTATCAGTTGAGAGATTAAAAAGAAGTGGAAAATCAGATTTTAGGCAAATACCACCACACTATCTATCAGACCAAAATTTAATTCTATTTATATTCCCTACTTTAATTAGACAATTGGCCAAGAAGAAATTAAAAATAGAGTTGGTGGAGGCCCTAATGGATAAGATGTCACTCCAAATTCTAGAGTGCTTGTAAGAGGACCTTACAGGAGGAAGCCAACAATCCTCGATAATCTTGTATTTGCTGTAAATTACTCTCCTCCAAAGAGCATTGATTTGGGTCCCAAATTTCCACCATCATTTAAGTAGTAAACAAGTATTTACATCTCTGATTCTTCTGATGCCCAAACCCAGTTGGTCAATACTCTTTGTAGCCTCCACCTACTTCACCAAATGTACTTTCCTTTTCAAATTATTACCACCCCACAGGAATGCAGCCTCAATCTTTTCAAGCTCTCTAGCCACACCTTCAAGAATTTTAAACAGGGAAAGAAAATAGATAGGTAAGCTTGAAAGAGTAGACTTGATCAAAGTTAGTCTGCCTCCAAATGATAACAGCTTTCTCTTCCACCCTGACAGTTTAAATTTGATGTTGTCAAGAATAGGCTTTCATATAGATTTCCTACTAGGATTGGCTCCTAATGGTAGCCCCGGGAATTTTAAGGGAAGGCTCTGTACCTTACAGTTGAGGAGATTAGCAAAGGAAAGCATAAGATCATCAGTTACACTAATACCACACACAACACTCTTATGATAATTGATTTTGAGGCCAGATAGGACTTCAAAACATCTGAGAATTCTTTTGACTAACACCAATTGATCCTAATGAGCTTCACAAAAAAGGATTGAATCATCAGCAAATTGTAAATGTGAGACACGAACATTATTGGCTCCAACTAGCACACCTTTAAGAATGCCAAGGTTAAGTGCTCTAGCTAAGAGAATGTTAAGCCCTTCAGCCACTATGTTAAACAAAAAAAGGGAGAGTAGGTCACCCTGCCTAAGACCTCGTTGGGGTGAGAATTCCTCAGTAGGAGATCCATTTACTAAAATGGAGATTCTTGATGTAGTCACACAAGCTTTCATCCAAGAGACCCATTGAACCCCAAAGCCAAAGTTAATCATCATGGAGAATAAGAATTCCCAATTTACAGAATCAAATGCTTTCTCGAAATCCAGCTTAAGGATCAACCCTTGTTTCTTGGTCTTCTTCCATCCATCCACTACTTCATTAGCAATTAGCACCCCATCGAGAATATATCGCCCACCTATGAAGGCTGTCTGGGTTTCACCAATGATGGAGGGTAGCACTGACTTCAATCTGTGTGCCAAAACTTTGGCTAAGATTTTGTAAATAGAACCCACAAGACTAATGGGTCTGTAATTTGTTAAGCTAATGGGATTTTCTAGCTTGGGGATAAGAGTAATGAAGGTGTTGTTAATGCCATAAGTGAGTTTGTTGTTGGAGTGAAATTCTTTAAAAAATTGCACAAGCTCCTGTTTCATAACCATCCAAAACTTTTGAAAACATAGCAAGTTAAACCCATCAGGGCTTAGAGCT